TCTTCTTTTTCCTTCTTCCTTCCTTCTTTCTTTTCTTTTCTTTCTTTCTTTTCTTTTCTTTCTTTTTTTTATCTTTAAGTAAGCTCTAAGCCCAACATAGGGCTTGAACTCACGACCCTGAGGTCAAGAATTGTATGCTCTACCAACTGAGCCAGCCAGGTGCCCCCAGAGGGAGATTTCTAGAACTGTCTGGCCATGGCTCTCCGAGCTTCAGTCCCTTCCCCCCAGGGCTGTCATCTACTCTCAGAAGGGCAATGCTCCCGGCATTCAAGGCCCCAACTTCACCTGCCTCACTTCTTGCATCTGACAACACCTGCCACACGTGTTTTCATTCCCTACATCTGAGTTTAAAAATTATTGTTTCCCTGAACTTGAAATGGACCTGGGTGTCCTATATCTTAATTGGCAGCCCTTGTGTCAGTTCAAACATCCCAGACATCATGAGGTTTTAGTGTAATTTTTAGTATAAGTGTGTTTTAAGTGCTTTATTTGGGACAGACTTCTACTAAAGAAGTATTCATTGTTTAGCTGAAATTCACATTTAATCGGGCATCCTATATATTTATTTGCTAAATCTGGCAACCTAGGCCATACACAGGTCACAGGGACCAGGGGCACTGTCAGGGGTCAGAGAGCCCCAACCTGGACCCTGAAACTCTGCCCTGCAGTCTGCCTGAAAGCCTCCTTTCCAAACCCCTACCCTGGTTCATGGAAGGTGTTGGAACCCAGAGACTCCTTGGGAGGAGCTGTTCCACGGCTGCCCACTTCTCTCCTCAGTCTGGGCCTCAGTTTCCTCTTCTATGAAATGAAACTAATGGTTTCTCCACCCGGTCTCTCAGCCTCTCCCCAGGATCAAACACCTGAGTAGAGTAGGGGATTCTCAGCTGACAGCTCATGCCCAGAAGGCAAAGAGGCCTGTGGGGAGTTTCTGTTCTTTGGCTTCCTGAAGGACCTTGAGGAATGATTAGGACAAAGGTCTTTTTTTTTTTTTTTTCTTTCCCCAAAGCAACTAGTAAACCAGTTAAACCACCATAATGATAACTGATTCAGGCAAGGAGCAACCGCAAATGTGAAAACCAATGTGGGGGATGAGGACCTTCAGATAGTATCAAGGTACCTTATTGTAGGTGGACGTGGCAGCCAACACCAGGCGAACAGTCCATCACCTGCTCTCTGATCCGGGAGACTAAAGAGATCTGCCAAGTGAATGCCACACTTAACCTGGGATTAGAGCCTGAGCCAGAAAAAATAGTAGCTGGAATGTGGACTGGGGACTAGGTCATGGTGTCCTGTCGATGTGAAAGTTCCTGAATTTGATCATTTAACTGTGGTATATAAAAGAATGGCCTTGTTCTTAGGAGAAACGTGAAGTGTTTAGAGGTGAAGGGTCACACATCTGCAACTAACTCTCCAAGGTACAGCAAGAGAAAACAGGAAGGAAGGGGGAGAGAGAGGTCAAATGATAACAGTTGGTGAATCTGATAGTTCATTGTACTATTCTTTTTTTGTAAAGATTTTATTTGTACGTTTGTTTGTTTGTTTGTTTAGAGAGCATGAGCAGGGGTAGGGGCAGAGGGAGAGGGAAAGAGAGAACCTCAAGCAGACTCCCTACAGAGCATAGAGCCTGACGGGGGGCTCCATCCCATGACCCCGAGATCATGACCTGAGCCAAAATGAAGAGTCGGACGCTTAACTGACTGAGCCACCCAGGTGTCCCTCGTGGTGCTATTCTTGCAATTTCTCTGAACATTGGGTATTTTTCCAAGTCTGAGGGCACCCAGAAATAAAATATCAGAAGTAGAAGTGGTCTTGAAGACACTGTGCCCTCCCCAACAACCCACAGCCATCCTTTCTCAGAGGGGTACCCTGAAAGGGGAAGGCCTCAGCCTGTCACACAATGAATGGCAGCGAAACCTACCCTCTTGGTTTGAGTCTCAAGAGCAGGAGAGGGCCACCTAATCATTGTCATCCCAGCTCTTTTCTCAGAGCCCCACATACTCCCCAACACTATGGCCACCCTATAGACCTGCAGGCGTAAGCTACTCCCATGGAGTCTGGGTAGGAATCTATCCCTCTCTCTCCAAAGAAACAGAGCCACAACTCCCTAAACCTGCATTCCCTACCACCCCTGAATAGACATCCCACCTCCCAAGATGCATGCAGGATCAGACAGGAAGGAGAAGAGGGAAGCTCAGAGAAAAGGGGACAGGAATTGTAACGGTGTCCCCTGGAAAGCAACAGGCCTAGGGTCTCACTCGGCCATTGTAAGCAGATCCAAACCCCACGAAGGAACTCTGTTGGGAGTTGAGGCCCAGATCAATAACTGGGCAAAATAAACGCACCTGGACCAGTCCCTTTTCAGGGATGGGGGCAGCCAGAGGACAGGATTGCTGGGCCTGGTGTCCAAGCCAGCTGGATGGAGTGGCTGCAAGGGGTCTCTGGGGATGCTGGAGTTGGCACCATCCAGAGCTCATAGCAAATGTCCTGACCACATGCGAGCCTCAAGCAGACAAAATCTGCCCCCAGTTTTGGCTTCAGCTTCATTTTTTGTCCACTTGTGCGCCAGGTTTGGCCTCTCCAAGTTCATGTGTAGCCATGGAACGTGGTCTCACAAGCAAGCAGGAACCAACACCCGTGTGAGGCCAGGCCTGGCAGGTGGGTCACTTTCTAGGGAAGCTTCCAGAAGTAACTAGGAGTGAAATCTCCTTTTGTGCTTTACATACTGAGGTGTGTTAGTGGGTTGAGGTGTGAACACAGACAGGATTTATTACAGAGAGAGCAAAATGCTTCAACAATTTATGTTGATTATGAACAATGTTAATTTTATATACAGAAAAAATGAAGAGGTTCAAAGAGAAAGTGGATAATTAACATAATCTTATGAGAGGCAGCAATAACGTGATAACTTTAGGAGGAAAGCCATTTCCTTTTTGAGTCTAATGCATCTAATAATTTGAGTTTAATGCATCTAATAATTTAAATAATAATACAAGACAGAAAAATAGATTTCATCTTAATTCCGATTTTGTAGGCTTGTTTGCTGGACTAGCATTTATAGCCTTAGTTTAAATGTTATTTAAGTTTTGTTTGTATATTTAATGCCATTTAAGGGATGAATGTTTCAAGGAAAAGCCCTATATGGGAATATTTCATGGCTTGTGAGGATGGATGATCAAAAGGAGAAAGCCAAGTTAGTCACCTCCAAATTTCACAAGGAGAACAAATGCCAACATCACATGTCCACGTTTGTGATCATCATCATCATTAAAGAACATGAAGAAAACCAGAAGTGACTGCGGAAAATGAGGAGGTCAGGGGTGATCTTCTGCTCCTGGGCCTCAGTGGAAGGTGTTGTGGACAAGGGTCCTTGTCCAAAGAAGCACCTACTCGTGGGAAGTTACTGGTTGCACACCCTGAACTCAAGCTTTCTGATTTCATTACTTCCTCTGTAATACTAAAATTGTGATCAATAGGGGCACCTGGCTGGCTCAGTCCATGGAGTATGCAACTCTTGAATTCGGGGTCCTGAGTTTGATTAAGCTCCATGCTGGGCATAGATTACTAAAAAAAAAAAAAAAAAAGAGAGAGAGAGAAAAAAAAAAAATTGTGATCAATAAAACTGAAATCATACCTAACTGATCTGCTGTCACATTTACCCTTATGTTTTATGGTAGTAGATCCCTTTCTCTGATCCTCCCTCCACGCTGTCCCCTGTTGCCTTTTAAAACCAGCCATTTACTCCCTCACATGCCTAAATCCTCCAGGGCTCCCCACATCCCAGTCCCCCCTACCCAGGTCCCCATACTGCCTCATCCTGACTTCACATCATCCCATTGTGCCGCCAGCTCCAGCTGTATCAGCCTCTCTGGTTTTTGCAACGCTGTGTCTGTCCACCTTGTTTCTACCTCCAGGTTCTGCCCAGCTCCTTCTGCCTGGAAGGCCCAGTTCCCTGCCTGGTCAGCATCACAATGCAGGGACACGACGCCTGGCAGCCTGAGCAGTCAGACTACCAGGATTTCACATCCGGGTCCAAGACCATTCCTGAGGCGAAGGCCACAGAGCCTCCCTGGAGCCAGCATGGGCTTACACAGAGGCGGTTCCGTCTGTTAAATTCGCTCATTCAACAAGTATTTATTGAGCAACCACTATACCCTAGCCTCCAGGCATGCAGGGGACTTCAAAGCAGAGTTGGGGGGCTTGTGGATGGCTCAGTGGGTTAAGCATGGGACTCTGGATTTTGGCTCAGGTCATGATCTCAGGGTCCTGGGATTGCACCCCATCAGGCTATGCGCGCAGCGTGGGTGGGGGATCTGCTTGAGGATTCTCTCCCTCTGCCTCTCTCTCTAATAAGTAATTCTTAAAAAAAAAAAAAAAAGTCTTGCCCTCAGGGAGCCCACAGTCCGCTGGGATGCAGTGGGCCTGGGGGCAGACCACTCCCCCCGCCCCCAGGGAACCCAGTGGGACGACTTCAGCTCCAGGCCAAGTGCTAGGAAGACCACAGGGGCGGGGCAGGCCTTGTTGAGGAGGGAACATTTGACCTGCAGCCAAACAGTAAGCCGGGGCTGGCTCTGAGGCAGTTGGGGACAGTGTCCCGGAGAGAGGGAACAGCGAGTTCAAAGGCCTGGAGGGGAACGGAGCTAAGCAGTGTCAGGACCCGGGGCCCAGCACCGCACTAGGTGCCTCCGTCAGAGTTTAGGCCAGGCGTGGCCTGGTGGTTTCCGGATTTTCTGTTCCGGATCCCATCGAGGGGGGGCGCCATCTTCCCCCATTCTGCGGACAAACGGGACCCAGAGCCAGCCAACGTCCCACCCCAGGCGGCCCCGCGGGCCATCCCGGCCGCGCGCTCGCGTGGCGACCCCACCGCCGCCCGCGGCTGCAGCGGGCCACGTGCCGTGCGCGGGGTCCCCCCGTCGCCCCTTCCCCGCGGCGGCGTGCGGGGCGGGGCCGCCTGGGCCCACTCGGCCCCGCCCCTCCCCCGAGGGTGACGCGGCCCAGGGGCGGGGCCTGGGCGCGGCGGCCGGACTGTCTCGGCTGCGGCGGAGCGAGCACCGTGCGGCGCCACCATGGGGGCCCAGCTGAGCACGGTAGGCGGGGAGGGGCGCGGGGGGCGCGGGGGGCGCGGGGGGCCGCGGGGACGGGGGCCGCGGGGACCCCACCCGGCCCGCCCGGCTCCGCGCGTGGCCCGCGGGAGGCGTGGCTCACGCCCCGGGCCTCAGTCGCCGGGACCTAGCCCTCCTGCCCGGGGGGCGTGCGGGCGGCGGGCCCCGGGGGCGGGCGGGCACCCGGCTGATGGGCACGGGGGCGCCCCGCCCGCCCGCATTCCCCCCCCCACCTCCTCACATCCCGCCCGGTCCCGCCCCGTGGAGGGAGGAGCGGGCTGCGCCCGTGAGCCGCGCGAGTGGGGGGGGGGGAGGGCGTGGCGGGGAAAGTTGGAGTGTGAGCGGGTGTGAATGGGCAGGAGTTTGAGAGCGCACGTGTGTGTGTCTGAGCGTGAATAAACGACACGACTAGGTGTAGTGTGAAGTGTGTGAATGCACACGAGTTTGTGATTGCAAATACACGGCCGACTGAATATGTGCGGTGACTGGGTGTGAAGTGTGAGTGTGCACGAGTGTGAATGCGTGAGTTAGAGTGCAGATGTGCGGCTGAGTGCGAATCTACGAAGTGGGGCTGGTGGGCGGTGTGAGTGTGGAGGTGTGAGGCTGAGGCTGTGAGCGAGTGAGCCAGTGGGAGTGAATGTGTGTGAGAGCATCGGAGAGCACGTGAATGTGGGAGTGGAGTATGTGCGTGCTGTGGTCAGGTGGCAGGGTTTGTGGCCTCTCTGGGCCACAGTGACCACGCTGCAGTCTTGTCTCCTGCTGGGAGGGGCCCTGGGGCGCAGCCAGGCTTGGCTCGGGCTCTCCCGTGAATGCTAGAAGCTGACAGACTTGTGAGCCCCATTTCAGAGATGAAGAAATGCAACTCACCCTTGGCCACCTGCCTGTGCCTGGCAGGGCCTGAACTTGCGGGCTCCGAAGTCCACCATCATGCTGTCCCTTTTGGGTCGGCCCAGGGCCTCCACCCCACCTGCCTCTGCTCTTGGATTTCTCAAAAGCCACAATGGCCCGGCTGGGGCCCTGTGCTGCGTGTGAAGGCTGTAAGCCAGAGGGCAGCCTCCCATGCCCTTACGCGTACTCTGGTCCCTGGTGCTGGCTGGGCGCAGGGAGCAGGCCACAGGCCTGGCACTGAGGACTAGGCCTAGAGCCACTTGCCTCCACTGCCATCGCCACCCCAGGTGCCTGGGACTTGGAGGATGCCTGCTTCCTCCCTCTGGCTCTGTGAGGCTCCTCCTCACGGTGAGGCAAAAGGCTTCTTGGCCTGGGTACTTGCTCACGAAGTTGTGTCCCAGCCCAGGACTCTGGGGGACATTCAGACCAAGGAGCAGCCTTGCCCAGGGCAAACCTGGTGGGCATTACTCAGCTTCAGAGTAACATCCTGACCCTCCTCCTCCATTACTCAACCCCCTGACCGCCCCCCCCCCGCTCTGTTTTCCAGCGCTTCTCACCTTCTAGCTGGTGTTGGTAGAATTTGTCAGTGCGTCCCCAGCGTGTGGCCGCTCCATACATTTTTGCTGAAGAGCCAAGGCCCTCTGGCAACCCCCTTGTGAGGGGCAGAGCCCTGTCTGGAAGTCAGGAGACTCACCAACTCCACGGCCTCCTCGGTCCAAGGGGCCCACTGAGGACTCGCAGCTCTGCTGGGGGCAGGGGGGCCACAGTCCCAGATGGTAGGTAGGCCAGTCGCCCAGCGTTCCCCCCCGGTGGCTGGGCAGGAATTGCCCCTTCCTTGTGTGTGCCCTGCTGGGATCCCCACTTAGCCCGAAATACCCACAGCAGACCCGAGCTAGGCCTCCTGGCACACAGTCTCCACAGGGTCTGCGGGAGGCTGGCTCGGGCTCTGGGCCCCAGACGTCTTATCAGGGATGTGCAGGCTCTGCAGGAGGCCTCCTCCCATACTCCAGGGGGCCCCAGCTGAAGGGGTGGCACTTGAGTCTGTCAGCCACCTGGGGGGACCACTGGGGGATTGGCCCGCCATCCAGGACTGTGGCTTCCCTGCCCCCAGCACAGCCGTGAGTGCTCAGTGGGCCCTGACAGGCTGACATCACAGAGTCCCAGACTTGCCACTGTCCCCGCCCCCCTCCCCGCGCCCCGACTGCTCTGTGCCTCGGCTGTGGCCCTCATCCCTGGCCCCAGGAAAGCAGGGCTGTGTCTCCCCTGCTGAGAGCAGCATTGCTGTGCACCTGCCCCTCCTCCCAAGTTCCCCTCCCCCACAGTTCCAAGCCAGGAGCCCCCCTCTGCAGAACTTCCTCCACTCCCTCCCACTTCCTTCCACTTCCTGAGAAGGGGACCAGGAGGGGGGTGGACACTCAGATCGCAGCAGGACAGCTGGTGGGCGACAGGCAGGTAAGACTCAGCACACGGAGCTGCCACCTGGGGAGGGCTCAGTCTGCCCACACAGACCTAACCCGGGTAGAGTGGATGCCACGGTCGGTGTAGGGAATTCCACGGGCTGAGCAGCAGGGCAGGGTGCCCCGTGGAGGGTAGCAGGGCTTCCCAGCCCCTCAGCAATGGTGGGCGAGCTGGGGGCTCCCTGGAGACATCCTGGGACTCTGGCTGCCCCTTCTGTGTCAGCGGAGGTAAGGAAAGGCAGGTGCTGGGTTCCCTGGTGGGCAGAGCATGGCCTGGGGGGCATCAGGTCAAGGCCTGGGAGGCAGCTGTCTCCTAGACCCACCCCCCCAATGGCTCCAATGGCTGTGGTGACATGGGTATGTGCGTATGTGTGTGTACATGTGTGTGTCTGTGTATGAGCAGCTCGGCTGAGGAGGAGCTGGGGTGGGGCCTTGGCCTCAGCCGTCTGCCTCCTGTTTACTCTGCCCACTGTGGGCAGGGCTGGGGGGTGGGTGCAGAGTTGTGGGAACCCAAGTTATGGGAACAGGGCATCCCTGCCCCTTGTGAATCTGGCAGAGCCTTCAATTTTGGGGAGATGAAGCCACTGTACCCTTTCCTTTCCCCTGACTGTGTCTGGCTTCCCCACTGGCTTGAGCTTCTCAGGGGCAGGGTCCCCTGGCTTGTGTCCCCCGAATCCAGCGTGAGCCCTGGTAGGTGTGCTCCCGGGGATTTCTGGCCTGAAGGACGAGCTGCCCACAGCGGCCTCCCGGGTAGGAATGTTGTGCATGCCAAGTCCACCTCTGCTCTCTCAGGGGCCGCATGGTGCCCGCAGGCACAGAGGGGCAGTGTTGTACGGTGACTCAGTGCGTGGACTCGAGCCAGATGCCGGGGTTCAAATCCTGGCCCTTGGGCCAGGTCTGTCATTGGGGCCTCAGCTTTCTTGCCTGGAATGGGAGTGGTGATAGCTCCCGTCTCCGGGCTTCTGGATTATGGGAAATAATTATGCGCAAGGCGGCTGTCCGGTGCTCTGCAGAGCCCAGTCCCTGGCAGTGGGCACTGGAAGGGAGGCGGCTGACCTGTATCACCTGCCCACGTGGGCGGCTCCTTCCGGCCATGGCACTGGCCCTACCATACCTCTGGAACGTGGCTGTACCTAACAGGATCGAAGCTAGGATCCTAGCCGCCTGGGCCTGTGCTCTGTGGAGGGCTGTGGGTTTTTAAAAGCAACAGGGTAAGCTGGTAGGCCCATGCCTGCCCGGGAGGGACCTGGCCTCTTGCCCTGGTTCCTGAAACTTCCAGACAAAATAAAAAGAGTCAGAGAAAGACCTGGAGTGGGGGCGGGGGTGGGGCTTCTTGTTGTCCCTTCACAAAGTTATGCGCAAATATTTACTGTCTCTGCTCTGAGCGCTGGGGGTGCCATGGTGATGAGACACCCAGATGCCACCACCCTTCTGGGGCTTCTGCTCTGGGATCTGCTGTTCCCTGTCAGCTGTGACCACATGTGGGCGCTGGCCCCAGCTGTTTGAGCCCAGGCTGGCATCCGGGGTCCCCGAGGCTGGGACCTGGCATCTGGAAGGTCTGTGCCAGGGCTGCAGCCCTTATTCAGGACTTGCCTTCAGAGTTGTTGACTTAGGAATCGTTTTCACGGCCAGCATTTGTGGGCTTGGGGCAGGTGAGAGATAAGTGACAGAAAATTGGGAACCCAAGCCCAGACTTCACCCTGGGCCTCCCTGAGCCTCAGTTTCCTCATTTGTCAAATGAATGCAGTTGGCCTATTTCCCACTGGTGTGGGTGGGTCATAGAGGAAATGCAAGGGAGCGAGCTGCAGGCCAAGGGGTCTTATGTTATTAAACTTGGCTGTGCACTGGGGAAAATAAAACTCCAGGGAGCACCAAACACAACTCCAGCTGGCTCTTACTGTCATTTCAGTTCATCTCCAGGGCTCCCTGCAATGGTGATTTCCTGTAACTTCACTTTCTCCCTCAACAGTGTTCCCAATGGATATGGCTTCTCTGGGAGGGGCCTGCAGAATCTCCTCAATCCCACAGACTTTGCAGAGGGGAGCAGGGGCTGTGGAAGTCCACTGAGGGCCTGATTAACTAGGGAGGGGCCAGTCAAGGAAGATTTGACATTTGAACTGGGCTCTGAAGGATGAATAGGAGTTTCCTGTTTGCATGAGGGAAGAAAAAGGGCATTTGGGGCAGAAAGAAGAGTATGCAAAGGCCTGAGGCAAGAAGGGCTTTTGGCCAGAGTTGTAGCCTTACAGTAGGGGCCTTGGTGTAGGCAATGGGGAGCCGTCACGGGTGTTTGAGGAGGGGGTGGGTGCCCTGTTGGCTTGGCAGTTGGGGCCTCATTGTGGGAGGCAGGATATCAGACTCTGGTGGAGCAGGTGGGATTTGGGCCTCGGGCTCTGTGGCCGGGGTCACAGAGAGGGCACCTGTCCTGGGAGGTGGCCTAGGAAGAGCTAGACAGGCCTGGTGTTGAGTCCTGGCTCCACCCCTTGACTTGCTGCAGGACCACAGGCAAGTCACTTAACTGAGAAACAGGGACAGTAGTATCCCCTGTGAGTGTGGTCCTCTGAGGATTGGCTTTGGTGCCGTTGGGGCAAGATACTGGCCTTCCCTGGGTCTGTTTCCTTATCTCTAACCTGATGATAATCATGGAGCCTGTGGCCTGAGGTCGAAAGGAGGATTCTCCCAGGTTGCTCACATCCCATTCGCCGAGCATTGCCAGCTTGGAAACGTTTGCTGGCCCGTCTGTGTGTGGCCTGTTCCATCTCCGCCCCCCCACGCCCACCTCCCCAGCCCTAGATGGGACCGTCCACTTGCAATTGAGGAGGGTGGGGCCTGGAGAGGCTGAGATTCTCTCCTGAGGTCCTGAGCTGGGGTTTCAGACCTGGGCCTTCTGACCCCTGGGTTCAGGGCTGCCAGCCAGGCCCCTTAGTGAGACCCGGCATGGCCGAAACGCTGTGTGGTGCCTGGGATACGGTGGGTGCTGGTTAAATGGGCAGTGGCCGGAGACCCCGGCCACGTGGCTCCAGCCCCTGCTGTGATGGGTGGGGTTGGAGAAGGGAGCCCTGGCTGGCTCCCATGGGCCTTTCCTTCAGACTCATTAGTCACAGACCAGGGGCTCTGTGGGGTGGGGCCTAGGCTGTACCCAGCCTAGAGGCCCTGCCCGGAAGAGAAGGCATATTGTTCTGAGCCCAACAAAGGGCCTGAAACCACAGCTGCGACAAGGTAACTTGAAGCTGCTGGGCCAGTTTGGGGAGCAGGGGCCAGGCCTGCCAGGGGATCTTGTGCTTCTGCCCTTCCTTCACCGGGGTGTTCCATCTCCCCGGTGGTAGAGGCCCATTGAGGACGGCAGGAAGAAGCTCCTGTGTGTGCACCCACATTCCTCTGTGACCTGGGCGCCCCCATCTCATCTCATATCCCGGCTCTCCCAGGAGGTGGGCAGAGCAGTAGCTCTTACCTACCTTACACAGATGAGAACACTGAGGCTCAGAGAGGCCTCAGGTACTCAGCCAGAGCACCCCCCCTGGGTTGATAGAAACGGGGGAATCCTGGCAAGGCTTCTAGGAAGCCGGGGGGCAGTGGGTTGGACCTTGAGAGGTGAGGGTCCTCTCACCCAGCCACTTCCAGGTCCATGCTCTGCCGAATATGCTATCTCCAGAAGCCCACAAAGGAAGCAAAGAGGCCTCCATGCAAGCAAAGAACTTGGCTCTGAGCTTCCTGGCAACCAAGTAGAAAAGGGGAACTTGTACAATGATGATAAGGAGAACACATGGTCATTTGCTGAGAGAATTAAAGTCAGGGAGGTGTGCTAGTGATGCTTGGAGAACAAAATGTGAGCCAGCTTTCTGGAGAAGCAGTGTTCTGTGTGGACTTTTGGATCTCAGCCTCACTGTTCAAACCACCAGTGTGGGCTCCTCCCCACCCCACCCCCACTTTTTATTTTGAAATAATTTCAAACTTACAGTAAAGTTGCAGTAATGTGGAAAGAACCATTGTATACTTTTTGCCCAGATGGACCCAGTGTTAACATTTACTATATTTGCTTTATTGTGGGTGTGTGTATATTTTATTTATTTTTTTAACTATTTAAGTTACAGGTACAATGCCCCTTTACCCCCTAAGGACAAGGCCATTCTGTTGCCTAATTACAGGACAGGGATCAAATCAGGAAAGTAACATTGATGCAATGCTCTTATCCTTTTTTTTTTTTAAGATTTGTATTTATTTGTTTATTTATTTATTTATTTGAGAGAAGAGAGAGAGAGAGTGAGAAAGCGCACGAGTGAGCAGCAGGCAGAGGGAGAAGCAGGCTCCCTGCTGGGCAGAGAGCCTGATGCAGGGCCAATCCCAGGGCCCTGGGATCATGACCTGAGCCAAAGGCCGACGCTTAACCGACTGAGCCACCCAGGCGCCCCTGCAATGCTCTTATCTAATCCATGGGTCTTAATTCAGATTTCACCCATTGTCTCAATATTGCCCTTTATAGGGGTGCCTGGGTGGCTCAGTTGGTTCAGCATCCAACTCTTGATTTCAGCTCGGGTCCTGGTTGTGAGATCAAGCCCATTTCCGGCTTTGCGCTCAGCAGGGAGTCTGCTTGAGATTCTCTCCCTCCCTCTCTGCCCCTCCCCTGCTTGTGCTCGCTCTCTCTGTCTCTTTCTCTCAAATAATAAATAAATCTTAAAAAAAATATTGCCCTTTATAGCTGTTTTATTTCTGACGCAGGATTTAGTCCAAAGCCACGCATCGCATTCTGGTGCTCTGTCTCTTTGGCCTCTGTATTGGTTTCCTAGGACTGTAACAGTCACCACAAACTACATGAAACAGCAGACGTTATTCTCTCTTCTGGAGGCCAGAGGTCTGAAATCAGTGTGTTGGCAGGGCCACCCTCTCTGAATGTCTAGGGAAGGGTCCTTCTTGTCTCTTCCTGCTTCCGGTTGCTGTCAACAATGTTTAACTTCCTTGGCTCGTGGCCACCTCGCTCATCTTTGTCTCTGTCTTCATGTGGCCTCTGAGTCTTCTTTCTCTTATAAGGACACTTGTCATGGGGTTTAGGGCCCACCAGAATAATCCCAGATGATCTCATCTCAAGATCCTTAGCTTGGTTGCATTGACAAAGACCCTTTATCCAAGTCAGGTCACATTCCCAGGATCTGGGTGGATATATCTTTGGGCCACCATTCACTCCACCAGAGCTTCCTTTAATTGGGACCAGTTCTCCGACCTTTCTTTGTTTTTTTGTGCTGTTGACATTTTTGAGGAGTCTTGGCCAGTTGTCCTGGAGAATGGCCCTCACTGTTTTCCTCATGGTTAGAGGCAGATGAAATGATCCCATTTCACAGATGGAGAAACAGCTCAGAGAGGCTAAGTGATTTGCCCCAGGACAAAAACAGCTAGAAAGAACCGGTGACCAGTTGTCTTACTCTGCAAGGGTGTTCTCCCCAAGTAAACCAAAGCAGTGAGCTATCTGGCCATGGGATTTGGGTTTTCTTTTTTTAAAAAAATCTAAACACCGGTGCCTGGGTGGCGCAGTCAGTTGAGCATCTGACTTTTGGTTTTGGCTCACAGTCAGTTGAGCGTCTGACTCTTGGTTTCGGCTCGGATCGTGATCTCAGAGTTGTGGGATCGAGCCCCGCATCTGGCTCTCTGCTCAGCACAGAGTCGGCTTGGACTTTCCCTCTCCCTCTGCTGCTCCACCCCGTGCTCGTGTGCTCCGCCCCCCTCTCATAAATAAATAAATCCTTAAAAAGAAGTCTACTTTAAAAAATAAATAAAAATCTAAACTAGCTCTTAGGGTCTTTGTGAGGTTGAGATATGGGGGGGCAGGGGGCTGGCAGGGAGGAGCCTCTCAAGGTCACACAGGAGAGTGAGCATGGGCCCGCTGTTTGAGTGGGATTGGGGAAGCGAGTGGACTCAGGTTCATGTTGCATCTCCCCACCCACCAGCTGCTGTGTGACTGTGGGCAGGTTGCTTCGCCTCTCTGAGCTGCTTGCTCATCTGTAAAGTGGTGGTGATGACAACCCGAGGGTTGTCCTGAGATGAACGCCCGTGTGGGGCTCATCATGGTGCTGAGCGGTAGGCTCCGAGTTTCAGGGGACCTTGCAGATCATCTGGTCCAGTTCATTTGAGAGAGCGGAAGGGACTTAGCCAGGATCCCACAGCCAACAAGGAGCAGAGCTCCCCAGTGCCCAGTTCAGTGCCTCAGCTGTCTCTCCCACCTCAAGGCAGAACTCTGGGCTCAGGGGTGTGTCTGTGTAAATAGAGCTAGCACTCAACATCACTAAAGAGGACCAGGGAAATTGACTAAAGGAAGGGGAGGAGGGAGGGAGAACAGATGCACAGTGCTCAAGATGAAGCACAATTACTTGTGAACTTTACTCTGAGCTTCCTGGCAGCCAAAGTTAAAAGGGACGCATGCTCTGTTCCGTAGCTTTCTTTGTCCCGGTTCCTCTGGGAAATGGAGCTTTGCCAGTGATTTAGGAATACGGTGATAGGTTTCATGTGCCTGGGTTTTATAACTTTGCCCAGACGGCACCAGAATGGATGCTGGGATTCCCTGGATGAGGGTGGCGGGTAGAGGGTGCTCCTCGCAGAGGGGACAGCATGAGCAGAGGCCTGGCGGTATGAACCAACTGGTGTGTCTGCGGGAAGGGCAGGGGCCAGGCCCCTCCCCGTGCCCACACTGACCTGGTGGGTCTGTTCCTGTCATTTCAGTTGGGCCACGTGGTCCTCTCCCCAGTCTGGTTCCTCTACAACCTGCTCATGAAGCTGTTCCAGCGCTCCACCCCGGCCATCACCCTTGAGAGCCCGGACATCAAGTACCCACTGCGGCTCATCGACAAGGAGGTGAGTGCCCCACACTGTGAGAGTCTGGACCCATGGAGGCTCCTCGCCCTCCCTGCCAGCATCACCGTGTTTCTCAGCACCTGCTGTGTGCTCAGGGCACCAGCCCCCACTCCAAAATAGGTCCTGTTGTCTGCCCTTCTTATAGATGGGAAATTAAAGTGATGTTGCCTTCTAAAGTTAATTGTAAGTGTGCAGAAGGATTCAAACCCAGGTCTCTGACCACAGAGCCTGCTCTCCGACCCACACTCTCTATCCCACAGAAAGCCAGAACAAGAGGGACCCCTCAGGACTTTGGGGTCAAAGCGCCCATTTAACAGATGGGAAAACAGAGGGCAAGAGAGGAGCAGGGGGGCATTGGAGGTCACACTGTGAGTTAGGGGTAGAACCAGGATTCAGGCCTACCCCCGCCTTGGTCTCAGGAGCTTCCCAGCCCAGTGCCCCTTTCCTTAAAGTGAATGACTCCTCCCCACCCCCATGGTCATCTACTCCGGGCCTGGTGCTTGTTGGACCCCGGTGTCTCTTCCTCTGTGCAGATCTGTGATCCCGTTACCTCGCTGTGGGGCTCCATCCACCCCTCTGGAAGGCTTACTCTTGCCCTCGTGTTTGACCCTTTTCCTTTTCAAACGTCTGATCGGGATTGAAAACCATCCTCTCCCTCCTTTGACTCGCCTCCCCGTAACAGCTGCTTTTCTCCTCCGCTCCCTCAGCAGAGCCCCTCCCTGCTGCTATTTCCAGCCACCGGCAGCTGCCTTGGAAGGGTGTGACAGGGAGAACTGAGTCATGGAGCGGAGAAAGTCACCTGCCAGGCCCTGGGCCTGGGCCCCGGCTCCACCCTGAGCTCCATGCGACTCTGAGGTCCCCTGAGGCACAGGACCGGGAGGTCACAGACAAGTCAAAAACCAAAGATAGGGGGAAAAAACAAAAAACAAAACACTTCCCAGAGGCTTTTACCAGGCTTTATCTTTTCATTATGTTTTATATATATTTTAACAATTTTAATTCCAGAAGGAATGTATGGCTTATGTGTGCTCACTATAAAAATTCTTTGTGAAATATTAACGTCCCACCCCCTGCCACGCCGCCTCCGTGTGGAGGGTCCCAGTTCACGGGCCCATGTGAGCCTTTCCTGGGCATCACGTTCATATACGTGGATTTGCAGAGTTTTGGGCGTGTGTATACTTACTCTCACTTTTTTAAGAACCTGATTTTTTTAGCCAGCCGTACAACATGGACACCTTATCACGTCTCACCTGAAGCTGGTTCATTATTTTTGATGACTGTCTAGTATTTCCCTGTAGGGATGTTGCACAGTGGACCCACCAGTCCCTTTTGATTGAGCCGGAGGTTAATGTCTCAGCAGTTAAATCTGCCGCCTCCCCTTTGTAGCCTAGTGGTGGCTTTTCAGGGTCAGCAGGTGGGTCCGCTTTTTGATACTTTTGCTAAGCTCCCCCAGGGGCACAGGGAAGCCCCCGCTGCTTGCCCTCCCCGTACCTGTTGACCCTCAAGGTCCCCCTGAAGCTCTGGGGGTCGACTGCTCGGCTCATCACGGCCAGCAGCCTCGTGAACGCCAGCACCGTGCTGAGCCCCGCACAGATGTTAGCCTCATGATTTTGATGTGCCCTGCCACTGTCATCCAGCCCAAGAATTATCAGTGTCTTTCCCTTGTTTCTCTTCTTCTTCCAAAAATTGTCTGGCGTGTGGGTTTCTGACCTTGAGCCCCAGGACCAATGGATAATCCTGGAATCTGTTCCCAGGAGGCCTGGGGGCTCAGTTTGCGTGGAGTGTAAGTTTCCCGGGGGAGGCAGCCTCAGGCCTGGGCTGCTGGGGTGGAGAGACGGCTGGTTGTGTCCTGAGTGGTGGCTGGGCTCTGGCTTTCTGAGACCCGGGCCTCCTGGCTCTGCTCGTATGCTTCAGGGACACTCAGAATGATGCTCTGCTCCTTTGGAGGAGTCTGCTGTCCTCCCTCCAAGTGATGACACTGTGTCCATCAGTGACCTTGCCACGTCGCCTGGTCTCGTGTGGGCGCCGACCAGTGCTGGACAGTGGCCTGCCTTCTGTGCGGCCCCTCCACACCCCTCGTCCTGGCTGCACCGGGTGCAGGAGAGACCCCACAGGGGCCTCAGGGGGCTGGGGTGCTGGGCTTGTTCCTGGCTCTGACCACAGTTTACTGTGGGAGACTTGTCTCCCCTGGCCTTGGTTTAAGACTGCTTAATGGGGATTCAGGGGCTTGGGTTCCGGCTCCTTTTTCGGCCCAGCCTGGCCCTTAACCAGCCTCTGCCCTGCTCTGGAGGGGAAATGGCCGTCACCTGCCCATCCTGTGCAGGGTGGACGCCTGGCTTAGGGCTCTTGGCCGTGGCCGTGACCTCGTGAGCAGTGGGGCTGGCACACTTCCTGCCCTGTGCAGCCCTGCTGCAGTCACAGCCGTCCTACTTCTCAGGGGGCTTTTAGTGTAATCTGGAGCCCGTCTCTTGTGTCCTCGGCCCAGGTACATGGGCCTTGTCTCAGCTCTGCCCCTAGTTTGCCAGCCCAGGGCCCGAGGTCTTCCTGCCACCCCAGGACATTGCCCAAGCTGATGGCACGGTTGGATCTTCCCTCTTGCCCCCAGAATTTTCTGGGCCATCTCGCAGCCTCCCTTTGGGATCCCGAGTTTGTCCCCTACCCTGATCACCTTGCTGGGTGGCCCCGGGCGGGTCCCTGCCCTTCCCTGGGCCAGTGGGAGCAGAGGCACACGCGGTGTGTGCCCGCCTCCGGTGCCCGTGCACACGTGGGTGCAGGTTGTGTGTCCGCGTGTGGCATCAGCATCCCTTCTGGGTGGCACGGGGCAGGAGCGGCTCTGAGGGCTGGGGGAGGTGCGCCGCCCAACAGCTCGGGTCTCTTTGCAGCTGATCAGCCACGACACCCGGCGGTTCCGCTTCGCCCTGCCGTCGCCCCAGCACATCCTGGGCCTCCCTGTCGGTGAGTGACGCCGGGGGCTAGGCCAGAGAGTGGGAGCTTTACCCTTGAACTAGGGAGAGTGGGGAAGGCTTCAAGGTGACAGCCACACTGGACCTCCAAAGATGAGTGTCCGAATGAGAGGGGAGATCCCCGGTGTCCCCGGCAGTGTCCCCGGCAGGAGCAGAGGTGTGGCAGCAGGAAGCTGGGGCATGATGGGAATCCCGGGGGGTGGGGGCAGGAAGGGGGCCCTGGAGCCCAGGCCAGGCTGGCCTTTGAGGACAGGGCGGGGCACGGGGCGATGGCTGACTCGACCCAGCACAGCCTGCAGAGGTAGTCCGTGGCCCCTTCGGGACCAGAATCACCCCTCCTCATCCTGCAGGCCAGCACATCTACCTCTCAGCTCGGATTGATGGAAACCTGGTCATTCGGCCCTACACGCCTGTCTCCAGCGATGATGACAAGGGCTTTGTGGACCTGGTCATCAAGGTGAGGTCTTGGGGCCGCAGCCGTGTGGGGGCAGGAGTGGCCACATCCCTTGTTGTCTGTTCTCTGAAGGCCTGGTGCTCCCTCGTGCCTGGTTTCTGAATGAATAGCAGACGGGGGTTTCCCAGCACAGGCCAAACGTGGGGGCTTGGCAGAGGGCAGGATCTAAGGACAGGTCATCTGCAGAAGAGAAACCAGGAAGGTTGACCAGCTCGTGCAGAGCTCACTTGCCTGCTCTTGGACGAGCAAAGCCTAGGGCACTGGGTCTCCGGTTGTGGCCCCAGGGGGCCCGCCCCAGCACACTCAGTCACACGGTCTCAGTGACCAGCCGGTCCTTTCCTGAGCACGTTTCCCTAAGAAACAGTCCAAAGCCCCCTCAAGAGAGGTGTGAGGAGCTCAGGTCATTGTCTGGGGAGCTGAGATCCCTCATGGGTGAGGGGTGGGTACATGCTGTGGAAGAGATGCAGCCATTAGATCAGAGACGCCTGGAACAGCCAGCAAGGATCTTAAGAATCATCACGTTGAGGGGCACCCAGGTGGCTCAGTTGGTTAAGTGTCCGACTCTTGATTTTGGCTCAGGTCATGATCTCAGGGTTGTGCGATCGAGCCCCATGGAGTCTGCTTGAAATTCTCTCTCCCTCTGCCCCTCCCCCCTACTTGCACACTGTGCTCTCTCTCGCACGTGCTCTCTCTCTCTAAAAAAAAAAAAAAAAAAAGTCATCACATCAAGTGGAAAGAGAAATGACAACCATAGCACAGTATACTTTTGTGAAAATTAGAAACACAAGCTTTACAGAACGATCCATGTTCTCAGATTACACGTCCAACAAATGGGAACCAGCCCAGGCCAGTAGAGGTGGGGTGTTGGAGACCCTCCCAGGAAAGGCCCAAACCCCCATGGCCACCCTGGCTCAGCACTCCTGGGGGCCAGGCTTACTGTCCTAACTCCACTGTGTGGGCTCCCTCACTGGGCCCCTTGTGGGCAGAAGGACAGAGGCAGAGGCCCCTGTGGGCTGCAGCTGAGGCCTTGGGTCTCACAGGGTCCTGGGGTGGCGGCAGGTCTGTGAGGGCAGAAAAGGAGCTGGGCCTGGGTCCCTCCTTAGCTTAGTGTCATTTAGATTGTACTGGGTGCCCAGGCCCAGGCTCGGGAGCCTGTCTTTGCCTGGAGAGTGGATACCCTTGCTCCAGGGGAGAAGCACATGAAACTGAGCACCAGGAATGGCACAGAGTGGGGCAGGTGGGGTGATGGGAGCTGCTCCCCTGAGCAGGTAACAGAGGGCCGAGACGTGGAGGCCGAGGAGGTGTTGACCAGATGGAGAGGAAGGAGAAGGACCTTCCTGGTGCAAAGGCCCTGAAGTCAAAAGGAGACTTAAAGACTGATGCAGCCAGGGGCGCCTGGGTGGCTCAGTCGTTAAGCGTCTGCCTTCGGCTCAGGTCATGATCCCAGGGTCCTGGGATCGAGCCCCGCATCGGGCTCCCTGCTCGGCGGGAAGCCTGCTTCTCCCTCTCCCACTCCCCCTGCTTGTGTTCCCTCTCTCGCCGTGTCTCTCCCTGTCAAATAAATAAATAAAATCTTAAAAAAAAAAAAAAAAAAAAGACTGATGCAGCCAAAGGGCAGGGGCTTCAGAGGACTAGGGGGGATAGGGAGGCAGTAAGGTGTGGGGCTTTGTCCAGAAGGAAGGGGAAGGTGTCGAGGGTCGGAGCATCTGTTCTTGTTGGAATCACTCTAGCCGGATGTGGAGAAGGTGTTGGGGGTGGGGCTGGGATCCAAGGAGAGGATGGGAAACTCAGGAAGACCAGGCCCCTTCTGGCTCAGAGACCTCGCTCCCTGCTTCCCATTGGCCCCGGACAAAGGTCAGAGTCCTGGCCTGCACATGGCTCTGCCCGCCTCTCCCTGTCCCTGCCCTTCCCCCACACTGACACCCCCCTGTGCTGTGTTCTTCCTGAGGCCCAGGCCTTTTGGGCTGCCTGTCTGTCTCTCCCTCCCCAGCCGCCCCTCCCTGCCCATCACTGCTGCTGGCCCCTCGAGCCCAGCGCCCTCAGCCCTGGGCAGGCCGAGCTGCACGCCCTCAGGCTCCCCATCTCTGTCTTGTAGCACTTCCTTTCTTTCAAAGGGGAAGTCCCACAGGGCACAGGGAGGGAAGTTGTTCCAGAAACGCTGTTTTTATGACAGCACAGAATGGAAAAAACCAAACATGCACAGGAGGGAGCTAAGCCCACTTCCCGGAGGCTTTTCTGTGCTGACAGCGTGGGAATCTCCCACCGGGAGGGGGCACAGAGACCGTTCTTGGCCGAACGTTAATACATTAAGCCCTCGAGTTGGGAGCCTTGTTCACCAGGCTGACGCTTTGTGTTCAGAGGGGATGTTAGGGAAAAGCAGACTCCTGGGGGGCTGGCATGCAGATGGGTGAGTTTAGATGGGTGGACAGGGCCTTACGTGAGAGAGCCACACACAGGCCGCAGAGAAACCTGGAAGAGGCGCTCCCTTCCCTCTGCGGCCCAGAGCTCAGCCCGGTGACCCTTGGGAACAGGGCCTGAGGACTGGGTGTGTCTTGCAGATTTACTTCAAAGACACCCATCCCAAGTTCCCTGCTGGAGGGAAGATGTCCCAGTACCTGGAAAGCATGAAGATTGGAGACACCATTGAGTTCCGGGGCCCGAACGGGCTGCTGGTCTACCAGGGCAAAGGTGACTTGGGTTGGAGTGCCCAGAGGCCCCGGTGGGCACAGTGAATGCTGGGTCTGCTGCTGTCTGGGTGGGTGACCCTTGTTGGGCAGCCGGTCTCCTCTCTGGGGCCTCCGTTTCCCCGGCTGTATAGGAGGGAAGTTGGCCAGCACAGGGGTTGCAGACTGGCTGCCCACAGACCGGCTTTGTTTGACTGAAACCAAACAAGTGAAAGCATCGAGCCAGAGCATCTCTGACTCCCCAGCCTCGCCACTGCCCCCCGCACCATCTGTGGTGGGAACGAAGGGCCCATCTTCCTGCTCCTCTCTGCTGGCTTTGTCACCCTCCCATCCTCTCCTTACCCCCAATGGTGGCTGCCCGCACCTCAGACCCCCGAAGTGGGGGCAGGTGCTCCAGCCCGTCTGGCCCCAAGCTTGGCATGTTTGAGAGCTGGGGTCTCCCCATCTCCTCCCTGCTCCTCTCTGCAGGAAAGTTTGCCATCCGTCCAGACAAGAAGTCCAACCCCGTCATCAAGACGGTGAAGTCTGTCGGCATGATTGCAGGAGGGACTGGTACGTGGACCCTGAGCCCCTTGCTGAGCCTCGGCAGGCAGATGTCATGGGTGGGGGTCAAGGTCAGGGTCAGACCATGGGACGGGGCACAGATTAGAAGCAGTTGTGAGCTCCCCGAGGTCAGGAGCCCAGGCCCGGTTGTGCTGACACGCCACCCCCTGCCTGCCTGGGCCTGGGCCTGTGTGCACGTATATAGCAGGTGCTCACTCAGCGTGTGGGGGGCTGCTGTTTTGCAGGCATCACCCCAATGCTGCAGGTGATCCGCGCCATCATGAAAGACCCACATGACCCTACCGTGTGCCACCTCCTGTTTGCCAACCAGGTCAGTGGGTGATCCCAAGACGTGCAAACCAGGCTTCTGCAGAGAGGGGGTGCAGGGCCCTGCGAGGCACCGCTCAGGGGGTCTGTGCGGCTCCGTGGCTGAAATGTGAGGGTGCTCTGAGTGTCCTGGGCACGGGCAGCCTTCCTGCAGCTGGTGGGGGTAAGGCTTTTCAGTCTGGAGCCCAATGTCTGCCCCAAGTGGGGCTGCTTCGGGGGCCGAGGGGGTGAGACACCTGGAGCAACCCCCACCCTGGGATTTGCTCCCTGGCTGCTTCCTCTGAACTTCAGCACTCGCCCCACAAACAGAGGTAGGAACCCAGCAGTGAAGTGGAAGAATGCTGGCCTGGGCTGGGGCTGGGGCTGGCCTGGAGCCAGAGGGGCCAATCCTTACAGAGGGGCCGAGGGCACAGCTGCAGGCAGGCCCTGAGCTGGGGGTCTTGGGGCCGGGTCTGGACCTGGTCTCTCTGACTCCTGAGTGCATGTCCTCCTGCCCATGCCTACCCTACTGCCTGTCTGCCCTGGCTTGTTGTGTGACCTTGGAAAGACCACTTTCCCTCTCTGGGCTCTGCTCCCTCACTGTGGAATTAGCTGATGAAACAAGGTCACCCCAAGGGTCTTTCTAGGTTTAGTGTTTTATGAAGTGAGTATGTGGATTTTGCAAAGTGACACCCCTTTGGGGGAAGGACATGGTGAGACACCCCTCCCCCAACAGCGTGGGGGCCACGCTCAGGCCTGCTGTGCCTCTCAGATACGGTTCAGGTCAGCTTGTCCCAGGGCCCCTCTGGCCCAGGCTCTGTCCCGTTCATCTGTAAGGTCCTTGGACTCCCACAACTACAGGATACTGCCCTGAAGCCAACTGAGGTGGCTTTGATGAGGCCCCGGGGTGGGTGGGAAGAGCCAGTAATTCCAAGCTGGTGGGGGTGGGATGGGGTGGGGTGGGGTGGGGTGGGGGGATGGCCGTTCCACTTGGTGCTGCTGGGCTAGTCTCTGGAGGCTGTCAGTCTTGTGTCGCCTGTACAGGGCATCCTCAGGCCTGTTAGCTCACTAGCCAGGGTGGTGGAATTGCTCACTTTATAGCTCTGAGCTCAGATACCCAGAGAGGTGCTTGACCGACCAGGCTCACAGGAAGTAGTGGGACCAGGACTTGAGCCAGAGCGTATTTTATGAAAAATAACTATTTTAGAAAATATTGTCCCGTTTTACATGTTTGCAAATCTTTCTAATGTCTGGCTTACTAGAAGCAGCTGGATTCCATACCTTTTTTTTTTTTTTTTTTGCATTCGGTTGGGGCAGTGTGGCAAGTCACATAGCCTTTGGAAGTTGCAATATGTCCCTATGATGGCAGGAGAGTGGAAAAAAAGCAGAGAAGGTGTTAGTATTATGTGAGGACAAAGTGTCTGTGCACAACCAAGAAAGTTTTGAGAAGAAAGAATAAGAAAGATGAATCTAGCCTGCTGGATGGTGCCACTAAAGTATCAGTGTTGGGAACCGTGGTTCCTGAGCCACACGTGACAGCTGGGCTTACTGGACTTAAAGCATTTCTGGTAACATAATGGAAAGTCTACACTGTGCTGGAACATGCTAGAACATGTGGCTATTTACATTTAAGTTAATGAGGATTAACGGAAATTTACAACTCACTTTCCTGGTTTTACTAGCCACGTTTCATGGGTTCTGTAGCCACCTGTGGCTCATGGTTACTGTCTGGGATAACAGATCTAGAACATTCCCATCCCCATCATTGCAGGAAGTTCCGCTGAGCAGCACTGGCCTAGAAACAGGCCCAAGTATATACAAGGCTTTGCAGGTGGCATTTCAACCTGAGGAGAGGGATGAAAGGAGTGTCGGGTTAGTTGCTATGAATTTGGAAAATGCAGAGTAGGTCCCTACTTTAACCTTCCAGTAAAATGAGGTTTAGGTTAAAAATATACATGTATATATATATATATATATATACAGAGGGGCACCTGGGTGGCTCAGTCGTTAAGCGTCTGCCTTCGGCTCAGGTCATGATCCCAGGGTCCTGGGATCGGGCCTCGCATCGGGCTCCCTGCTCAGTGGGAAGCCTGCTTCTCCCTCTCCCACTCCCCCTGCTTGTGTTCCCTCTTTTCGCTGTGTCTCTCTCTGTCAAATAAATAAAAATCTTTAAAAAAAAAATGTACATGTAGGAAAGTGAAGCTTTAGAGGGGCTAGGTGAGCATTTTTATGAGTACTGAATGAATGAATGAGGATGGGCAATGTAAGCAAGACACGAAAGGAGAGCCCATTGGCTTACAAATGAGAAAACCTTATAAATAAGATTGATAAATAACTCCGGGAAAAATCCATACCTCATCACCAATATAGAAAGAGTCTTTTCAAACTAATAAGATACAACTAGAGCCAGTGACAAACTTACCTTTTTTTTTTAAGTAATAAAAAACACAGGCACCTGGCTGGCTCATTCGGAAGAGCACGCAACTCTTGATCTCGGGGTCATGGGTTCGAGCTCCACATTGGGCATAGAGATTACTTAAAAAAAAAAAATGAATGAATGAATGAATAAACTTTATTTTTTTATTTTTTTTTAAAGATTTTATTTATTTATTTGAGAGAGAGAGAATGAGAGATAGAGAGCACGAGAGGGAAGAGGGTCAGAGGGAGAAGCAGGCTCCCCGCTGAGCAGGGAGCCCGATGCGGGACTCGATCCAGGGACTCCAGGATCATGACCTGAGCCGAAGGCAGTCGCTTAACCAACTGAGCCACCCAGGCGCCCTGAATGAATAAACTTTAAAGTAAATACATAGGTAAATAAAACATGAGATTTACTTTCCATCCATCTGATTGGCCAAGACTAAATGGTTATTACCCAGGGCCGGCAAAGGCATAGGAAGAGGGATGGTGTTGGGTGCCATTCTGGTGTGTGAATGACTGAAACCTACGTGTATCGAATGCCTTACCCATGTGGAGTTTTCTGCCCTGAACTCCACTTTCTGAGATTTATCTGAGGAATTGGTAGGGCAGTGAGGATGGGCAGAGAGACACTGTTTATGAAGGAGGGTGTTCAAAACTATTTAAATGCCCTTTGGTGGAGAACGGGTGGTCCCTCTGTCCAGCGCAAAGCTGGGCAGCTGGTAAGGGAAGCGCAGGCGCTCGGAGGCTGATGACACGTGGAGGGTCTGTGACATGTTCTTACCTTGGAAGAGCAGGTGACAAGGTGGCATGCGTCCTCTGATCCCATTTTTGTTAAAAAGAAAGTATATGTACTTATTAGAAAGCAAAGTCTAAAAGATACACAAAAAATCCTAACGCTTGTTATCTCTGAAGACTATCAGGGGATTTTTCTTTACTTCCATATTTTGGCATTTTTTATGCAGAGCTTGTCCAGCCTGAGCCCTGGCCCTGTCCCTGTCCTCACTCGATCAGGGCAGGAGGGGCCCACTGCCCCCCTGAGAAATGGGAGAAACGAGGGGCGCCTGGGCAGCTCAGTCGATGAAGTGTCCAACTCTTGATTTCAGCTCTGGTCTTGATCTCGGGGTTGCGAGTTCAAGCCCTGCATTGGGCTTCATGCTGGGCATGGAGCCTACTTTAAAAAAGAAAAGAAATGGAAGAAACAGTCAACATCCTCCTCCCTGGGACCTGCAGAGACTCATGCCTCCTGCCTGCAGCCCATTTCCTGGAGGGGAACACTGAGAAACCAGACCTTTAGGGTCCTTGTGAGAACAAGTATACCTTGAGCTGGGTCAGTCCCTCCTGTCAGCAAGACCCCCTCCACGCAGTGGATACTCAGGAAATATTAATAGTTGTGGCTTCAAATCATCCGTCCTTTCCTGCTCAGTCCCTGCTGTGAATAGCCCCCCAGTAGCCCCTTTCGCTGAGCATGTCGAGGTCCCGTGGGAGCAGAGAAAATCCATCCCCTCCTCTCCCAGGTCTGCCTCCCCGGGGAGGGCCATGCTGCCCCAGCTCAGGGGCTCAGTAGTGGTTTGTGAGTAGGTGATCCCTTCTGGTTGACAGAGCCCTTTGGCCCCCAGTTTATAACAGTCCCATGAAGTCAGTCACGCCGCCCACTGGCCCGAGGAGCCCCTTCTATCTGGGAGTGACCTGGAGACTCATGAGGCAGAGAGGCCTGTGGTCAGAGGGGCCATGTGAGGAGCAGGTAGCTGATGCCCCTGGGGAGTCTAGGAAGGCTTCCTGGAGGAGGAGGTGACACCAGGCTGAAGGACTGGCCACATGGAGCCAACTGGATGAAGCTGGTGGGAGCAGAGAGTGGAGAGCTGTAGGCCACAGCGTAGGTGAGACCGTGGAAGGAGCAGGTGTGATTTGGGGACTAGTTGTCTGCATTTCCCGATTTAAGGATGTGCGACCCAAGATACCAGAATGTAAGGAGGCTTATCTGAGGGATGGGGGACCTGTCACCAGAACCAACTGCTATTTTAAGTGGGACAGGCACTGCACAGGTTTTGGCCTATTTGCTTTGGTCTTCCCTTGTTCTGTAGTTGACTGCACCTGTGTTCAGCTGTTTGCTTCCTCCACCCGTTATATGGGGGCACGTGTCCCCACAGTGGTAGAAACCGTCTGCAAGCGCCATTTGTAATGAACGTCATCTGCAGCTTCAAGCCGCTCCTCGGGCGAGATGGGCAGAACGGGGCGCATGTTTCCAGGAGTCTGGGTCAGCTCCGCCAGGCTGCTGTCCTGCAAGCTTTGCCAAGTGTGTGGCCCACGGTGGGCGGGATGATGAGCCATTTGGGCGACGAGTGCCTCCAAGGGCAGTCCCTCCTGACCTCTGGGCCCTGTCCCCCCCCGCCTCCCCAGACTGAGAAGGACATCCTGCTGCGGCCTGAGCTGGAGGAACTGAGGAACGAACATTCTGCACGCTTCAAGCTCTGGTACACCGTGGACAAGGCCCCTGAAGGTGAGAGACAGAAGCGCTGGGTGGGCTGGGCTGGGTGAGGGTGCTGGGCCTTCGACTCGCGTGGTCTCCGATGGTGCTCAGGGTGGTTCGGGGAGAGGGAGGTGGTGTGACCCCATCTCACAGATGAAGGAGGGGTCAGAGAGGGGAAGTAAGTGTCCCACGACCCCCAGCTAGAAAACACCAGAGCCGAGACTTGAACTCACATCCTCCTCCAGAGCCCAAGGCCTTCTGCCCTTGCTGGACAAAGCAAGCTGGCCTTCTGCCCTTGGTGGGGGGGCTCACCCTGGGCCAGGTCAGCAGGGTCACTGCGGGGGGGTGGGGGCAGCTGCGCCCGCTGTGCGGTTTGTACCCTGTAAGGCATGTTACACTGTTTTCTCCCTGGGCCTTGGGGGCCGGGCTGACCTACAGTGACCCTCCTTCTACCCATGCCAAGGTCACGCAGGAGCAGCGAGTGAGGGCTGCCTACAAAACCTGAAACAAGGCTGCCCTCTGGGAGTTAAGTTCTGCTTCATTCTCCTGCTGTAGGTAGAGATGTGGGTACAAGAAATATCTCAATTTCTTCTTTGCTGTGAGAAAAGCAGTAGCTCAGGCTTCTTGGTCTGCGACACTGATGATGTTTGGCTGAGTGGTGCGGTCCTTCTGTGTGGCTGCAGCCCTGTCGGTCAGGCCCTTCTACTTTTCAAGAGAAGCAGGGACCTGCATCACCACAGGAAACTTCTAAATGTTGGAAACTGGACATTTTCGAAGCACCCTTACAGGCCCCAGTGTGTGATCGGCCACCCTGCCCTTGCTTTGCCTCCCCCCTCCTCCTGGGGCCCACAGTTCCCCAGGGGTCATCCATGGTGTGGGGACACCCCACCTCTGCTTCCCCTAGAACTGAGCAGATGGGGTCTAGGGATGGGCATCCGTCTCATGAATGGGTCATCTGGACCCATCCCCGAGAGAGGAGCCGTCCTTCTGGGGTGATCAGGCTGGGTTCTGGGCCTCCTGGCCAAGAGCTATGCATGGGCCTGGTTGGATTGTGGACCTGATAGCAGTACCCCGAGATCTGTCGCTGGCCAGCCAGCCTGGACCAGCCCATCTGAACCAGGCTCCTTGTCCACTCTGTTCCTGAAGCTGGCTTGGCCCTGTGAGCTGATGTTCTAGTGGGGGAGGGTGAACAGGAAACAAGCTTATTAGCAAGTTACAGAGTCAAGTAGCAAGTGGTTAGTGAGACCAGGGAGAAACAAAGCACAGTTGACCTTGGCCAACACCAGGATTCGGGACACTGACCCCCGTGTGCAGTTGAAAATCCGCATAGAACTTTGACTCCACAAAAACGTAACCACTCATAGCCTACTGTTGACCAGAAGCCTTACCAAGAACACAAACCATCCATTAACACCTATTTTGTATGTCACACATGTGGTATTCTTACAATAAACTGGGCTAGAGGGAAGAAAATGTTAACAAGAAAATCATAAGGAAAATATATTGACAGTACTGTACTAATGGCCAAAAATGCACATATGAGGGGACCCGTGCTGGTCATCCCCCCCCCCACACACCTCCCCGCTGTTCACAGGCCAACTGTAGGGTCAGGCAGGGAGGTCTGGCAGGGCCACCGAGAAGGGGAGTTGCTCCTTTTCCAACAGTAAAGAAAGGAATGTTTCTTTTGTATCCCTGATCTCAATCAAAGGTGGGAAACAGGTGTTTCCTCCCTGCGGGTAGCATGGTAGGGTAGCCTGGTCTCAGTGGCCCGCGGAGGAGGGGCCGGCGCTGACCCCTGGTGGTGACACATGGCAGTGCCTCCACTGGAGTGCTGCCTCTTGGGGACCCGTTTGAGCAGCAACCGGGTACTCACCAAGGAGGACTTTAGGCGGGTGGTCTCGCGTCTCACACTTAGGTTTATTATTACTCTGAGCCACAGTTCAAGAGGAGTCGCGGTATTGCTACAACATTAGGTATAAACTTCAATCCTACGTGCTGAGGAAAGGTCATGGTAGCAGGCGGGCTAGGCTAGTGTGGAAGTGAAGGAACGGGGAGTGGGGTGAGCTCACGTGGCAAGGACAGCTGACCTGCGTTTCCCCACAAAGCCACCTTCGGTACATGTATAAAGAAAAATACACTATCTAAAAAAAATCCTGGTAAAATTGAGCTATCTTCTATACCTGCACATTTTACACACTAGCAAATATAGCTTAGTCCCGTGCAATTTCTTAAAAATAGACTTAAACCTCCACCTGTTTCTCCCTCCCCCCACCCCCGCCTCTGGCAACCAGCAGTCTGTTCTCTGTATCTACGAGCTGGGGTTTTTTGGTTTTGTTGTTTTGTTTTTTTGTTTTTTTTAAGATTCCACATGTAAGTGAGCTCATACGGTATTTTGACTTTCTGTCTGACTCATTTCACTTAGCATAATGCCCCCAAGGTCCGTCCATGTTGCCACAAATGGCAAGATTTCATTCTTTTCTATGGCTGAATAATATTCCATTGTATTGAAGGGGTTCAGGACCCCCCCCCCGCCGAATGTGCCACTTTGGCATGTGGATTATCTTGAGCTAGAGGCACTTGAGACCCTGCTGAGCTCAAGAGAAACTTTGATTCCTTCCTTAACTATACAGAAGAATCTAAATTGGGGGTCTTTCCCAGAATAAGGGCTATTAACAGAGGTAAATTTTACCTGAGTGATCCATCTGTAGGGTAGGGCAAACATCTACTTACCAAACATCTGCTCTTCTTATCACCCTGTGAAATGCATTCCTTTCCTCCGAAATCCCAGACCCCTGCCCTCTTCTCCTTAGTTCAGAATGACACATATACCCCATTTTGCCTGACTGTCTTTGGAATGTCCGTGTCTGTGTGGATTCCCTGTATGTACGCTATTAAATTTGATTTCCTCCTGTTAATCTCTCTCATGTCAGTTTGATTCTTAGCCCAGCTAGAAGGACCTTGAAGGGACAGGAAATCTTGCTCCCTGACAGTATTTATAACACACTTTCTTTCTTTCTTTTTTTTTTTTTTAAAGATTTATTTGTTCATTTGAGAGAGCGAGAATGAGAGAGAGAGAGAGAGAGTACATGAGAGGGGGGAGGGCCAGAGGGAGAAGCAGGCTCCTCGCTGAGCAGGGAGCCCGATGCGGGACTCGATCCAGGAACTCTAGGATCATGACCTGAGCCGAAGGCAGTCGCTTAACCAACTGAGCCACCCCGGCGCCCTGTAACACACTTTCTTTACCCATGTATCCATTAATGGACATTTCGGCTGCTTCCCTATCTTGGCTGTTGTAAACAATGCAGCAGTGAGTGAACATGGGGTGCAGAAATCTTTTTGAGTTAGTGTTTTCATTTTCTTCAGATAAATACCCAAAAGTGGGATTGCTGGATCACAGTGTAATTCTATCTTTAATTTTTTGAGGCACCTCCATACTGTTTTCCAGAGTGGCTGCACCAGCTTGCATTCCCACCCACAGTGCATGAGGGTTCCTTTTTCTCCACATCCTCGCCAGCACTTGTTTCCTGTCCTCTGATGATGGCATTCTGACAGCTGCGAGGTGTGCACTTGAGCAGAATGTGTGTGTGCTTTTGGATGGAATGTTCTATAAATGTTTGTTAGGTCCATCTGCTCTAACGTGTTCCTTAAGGCCAATGTTCCCTTATTGCTTTTCTGTCTGGGTGACCTATCCATTGATAAAAGCGGGGTATTAAAATCTCTCACTACTGGGGCACCTGGGTGGCTCAGTCAGTTAAGCGTCCAACTCTTGGTTTCAGCTCAGGTCATGATCTCGAGGTCATGGGATCGAGCCCCATTTCGAGCTCTATGCTCAGGGCAGAGTCTGCTTCAGATTCTCTCTCCCTCTCCCTCCTGCTCCCTTTCTCTCTCTCTCAAATAAATAATCTTTTAAAAAAATCCCTTACTATTATTGTGTTGCTATTTCTACCTTTAGATCTGTTAGTATTGGCTTTATATAATCAGGTACTTCTATGTTGGGTGCATAAATATTGACCAATGTTATATCCTTGTTAGAATTGACCTCTTTACCTTTATGTAATGCCCATCTTTGTCTCTTATTTACTCTAGCTTTCTTTTCATTTCCATTTGCAAAGAATATCTTTTTCCGTCCCTTCACTCTCAGTCTGCGTGTGTCCTTATAAACATCTAAAGTGAGTGTCTCGTAGGCAACATGTAGCTAGGTCTTGTTTGTTTCCTTCTAATTCCAGTGTAGTTAACATACAGTGTTACACATTTCAGGTGTCCAATGAAGCGATTCAACAATTCTCTACATCACTCAGTGCTCATCATGATAGGTGTCCTCTTCAGCCCCTCGCCTGCTTCACTCATCCCCCATCCACCTCCCCTGTGATAACCATCTCTCTGTTCTCCACAGTTAAAGAGTCTGTTTTCTGGTTTGTCTGTTTTTTTTTTTTTTTTCCCCTTTGTTTGTTTTGTTTCTTAAGTTCCATGTGTGAGTGACATCATCTGGTATTTGTCTTTCTCTGACTGACTGGCTTCACTTAGCATTATATTCTCTAGATCCATCCATGTTGTTGCAAATGGCAAGATTTCATTCATTTTATGGCTAATATTCCATTATATACACACACCACATCTTCTTTTTCCGTTCATCAATTGATGGACACTTGGGCTGCTTCCATAATTTGGCTATTGTAAATAACATGGCTATAAACATAGGGTGCATGTATCCCTTTGAATTAGTGTTTTCGTATTCTCTGGGTAAATACCCAGTTGCATGATTACTGGATCATAGTGTAATTCTATTTTTAATTTTTTGAGGCACCTCCATACTTTTTTTCCAGAGCGGCTGCACCAGTTTACCTTCCTACCAACAATGCACAAGGGTTCCTTTTTCTCCACACCCTTGCCAACACTTCTTGTTGTTTTTTGTGTGTGTGTTTGTATTTTTTTTTTATTTTTGTTTTTGTGTTTTTTATTTTAGCCACTGTGACAGGTGTGAGGTGATATCTCATTGTAGTTTTGCTTTGTATTTCCTGATGATGAGTGATGTGGAGCATCTTTTCATGTGGCTGTTGGTCATCTGGATGTCTCTAGAGAAATGGTCTGTTCATGTCTCCTGCCCGTTTTTTAACTGGACTGTTTGTTTTTTGGATGTTGAGTTGTATCAGTTCTTTATATATTTTGGATACTAATCCTTTATCTGATATATCATTTGTGAATATCTGCTCCCATTCCATAGGTTGTCTTTTAGTTTTGTTTGGTTGTTTCCTCTGCTGTGCAGAAGCTTTTTATTTTGATGTAGTCCCAATAGTTTATTTTTGCTTTGATTTCTCTTGCCTCTGGGGACCTGTCTAGAAAAATGTTGCTATGGCTGATATTAGAGACATTACTGCCTGTGCTCTCTTCTAGTGTTTTTATAGTTTCAGGTCTCACATTTAGGTCCTTAACCCATTTTGAGGGTTTTTTTGTGTGTATGGTGTACAAAAATGATCTAGTTTCATCCTTTTGCATGTAGCTGTCTGGTTTCCCCAACACCATTTGTTGAAGAGACTGCCTTTTCCCCATTGGATATTCTTGCCTCCTTTATTGAAGATTAATTGACCATATAATCCTGTGTTTATTTCTGGGCTTTCTATTCTGTTCCATGGATTTATATGTCTGTTTTTGTGTCTTGTTTTTTATCCACTCAGCCACTTTTGATTGGAGAATTTAGCCCATTTACATTTAAAGTAAATATTGATAGATATGCACTATTGCCATTTTGTTAATTGCTTACTGGCTGTTTTGTTCTGGGCGAGCCAGGCTGGGGCAGGGGACCAGAGCAAGTGTTTGCTTTGGATCAGCCTCTTCATTCTTCAGTGTTTGTTGAAAGAAGGGAGAAACTCACGGTACAGGAGTATAACGGTCAAGGGGAGGGGTTTTGGGCGGGTGGGCAGTCGTTGGGCAGTCATGCGGCCACACTTGGACTCACCTGGTCTTCCGCCCGCAGCCTGGGACTACAGCCAGGGCTTCGTAAATGAAGAGATGATCCGGGACCACCTCCCACCTCCAGAGGAGGAGCCGCTGATACTGATGTGTGGACCCCCGCCCATGATCCAGTACGCCTGCCTGCCTAACCTGGACCGCGTGGGCCACCCCAAGGAGCGCTGCTTCGCCTTCTGAGGGCCAGGCACTGGCTGCTCGCACGCGCCCGCCCCGCATACTCACCGTGCCCTGTCCACACCTCCCGCCACTGTTCTTTAACATCACTTCCTTACCCCACATCTCCCACTATGGCCCTGGGTTTAGCCTGGCCTGCCTGTGCTTGGCTGGGTATCCCGCTGGGCTGGCCCCCGAGGGACCCCTCTGGGAGCAGGGTTCTGTTACAGGTGGGCTGCCGCCAGCCACCTTCCGGGTGGGTTCCTGTTTGGCCCTCATTGGTTCTTACCAGTGATGCTTGGCCCTGGCCCTGGCCCTGGCCCTCCCCTCCCTCCACCCCACCCACCCACCCACACACTACTAGGCCAAGGCTGCAAGCGCCATGCTCCTCCCACCCCTCCCAGGGCAGACCACGTCTAGAAATAAACACAAATGTACAGGCAGCCCAGAGCTGCAAGTGCCAGGGGAAACCCCCGCCCCGGGCACTGCCTCGGGACCCTCGCCTGCCACCCCTCACTACCTGCTCAGGGCCACAGCCAGGCCTCAGCACCTGACACTACATGACAGTAACACCAAAAAGTCCTCCTGGCAGGTGCCATGGGGGTGAGAGTTTGCCCCCCACCCCAGGACCCAGGCAAGCCCAGCCAGCAGGGAGCTGGGCTCTCCCCTCTCCGGGCTGGAGTAGGAGCAGGAGGGGGCGGGCCGAGGGCTCCTCTGGTGGGCACGCGGGCCCTCCAGAAGCCTCAGCATCTTCCCCAACACACCTGAGCATTCAGGCCGGCAGTCTGTCAGGCTGGCAGTCCGGTGGACTGCCTCGGGACCCCGGGCCACCAGCGCTGATGGCCAAGCTGAGACGATGTGTATTTATTCCTCTGTCCCAGACCCACCCCTCCTGCTGCCTGCACCCCAGCAGAGGGGAGGTTTCGTCTGAGCAGCATTCTCCGTGATCTTGATGTTGCCTTTAGACAAGGGTGGGTTCGCCTCTTGCATATGGGCTTTTTCAGAATCATTTATGAGCAGAAAAAACATGGAAATAAAACTTTGCTAATACTAACCCTTCTGCAGTTCCCTGAGGCTCTGCGACTTGTGTCATTGTTGGGGGGCAGTGGGAGAGGAAACAGGAAGGGGCCCAGCACTTACTTCTGATGTGTGTTGGTGTTCGTCCTGTAAGGTCTGGACTGTACAGAAAACCATGCACAGGAAAAAAATACTGGACATCCCGAGGAAACGCCGATCGCTCTGATGAAACCACATGGCCCACCAGGGGGCTGCTGCTTTTCCCTTCATCAGATGGGCTTTCCCCTGGGGTCACACATTCTCCAGAAGCCCACACGGATCATGATTTATTATGTAGCAAATCCCCTATCCTTGGACAGTTGGGCTGTTTCCCATTTGTGGACTTTGTAAATAATGGTGGCCTGCTTCATCCTCCTTTCAGATTTTTTTTTTTTTAAGTTGGCTCCACACCCAGTGTTGGGCTTGAACTCACAACTTGACATCAAGAGTCGTGTGCTCTACCGACTGAGCCAGCCAGGTGCCCCTCAGATGATTTTTTTGAGGCTAGATTCCTGGAGACAGCCGGGCCAGGGCGTGTGGACGCTGGGAGTCCACCCTTGAGACCCTCCTCTCGTGTCCAGCCCCCTCATGCCCAGCCTTATTGACGCCATCTCGGCGGTGTGAAAAGCTCTCTCCCATCCTGTTGTGGAACTCTGTATGTCCCATTGTTTTCCTTTTTGCTTTCCCCTCTGGCCAGCCCTGAAAAGCAAGGAGACATCATTAGCCTCAGTTTCTGCTGGAGGGACTGAGGCTCAGCAGTGAATGGCCTTCGGGTTGGAGGTGGGTCCTGAAGTAAGGCAGGCATCAGTCTTCCTGTGGAAGGCTGCAAGAGGGATCGCTAGCTCCCTCGTTTCTTCATGCACTGTTCCAAGTGCCAGGGACTTGGCTGCAGCTGCCCCAACACGCCCTCCCCTACTCCTGGGGTGCCGGTAAGAAAGATGTAAGCCAGACGGTGTCGTGAGTGAGATGGCAAATGCCAAGACAGAAATCAGGACACAAGGCAACGTGGGAGTGAGGACTGCTCTCTCTGAAGAGACAACAAAGCTGGCCCTGCTGAGGTAGGTGTTCAAGGTGGTGTGAACTCAGCAAGTGCAGACGCCTTGCATTTGGAACAAGCCTGTGGAATTAACTTCCAGAAACAGATGGAAGGAAGCAGGTGGCTGAGGGGACAGTGGAAATGAGGCTGGAATGGAAGCACACTAGATGTGCTCTAGAGGGAGTGACTAGCAAGTGCAAAGGCCCTGGGGCAGAGACCCGCGGGATATCTCCAGGAACATCGTGGAGGCCAGTGTACTGGAGTGGAGGGGGCAAGAAGACAGGATGGGGAAGTGCACAGGAAGGAATGCCAGAAGCCGAGCCTCAGGCCCGGGAGCCCCTTTCTCCTCTCTTCTCCTCTTACCTTCTATTCTGGCCCAGGCCCACGTTCTAGAGCAGGGTTGGAGGTGGGTCCTGAAGTAAGGCAGTGGGCAGGAAAGGGCTTGGCACACCTCCAGTGTGCACGGGATTCTGCAGAGCACTGGGCTCACATTAGGTCTCCTCATCCGGGTCCCCTTCTGGAGGATGAGAAAACAGACCTGAGTGTCAGGCTTTGAATGCACACCTGCCTGAGCTCACAAGGGGCTGTCCCCAGGAGCTGAGAAGGGCATGGATTGGACCTGGTCCCTACCCTCTCTCCTAGTTTCATGACTTTCCACCCTCTCAGACCTGACACCCTTTTAGAATAACATTTATAACTGCCTCTTTAGTCTTCTGAAGTGGATTTACAGGTAATATCACCAGCCTACACATAGAATTTTTTAAAAATCGGGTCGCCTGGGGCCATGGTCACAGCGCCAAATGCAGCCGGACTCCCAGTCTCTGCTGAGAGGGACACGGTTTTCCCAAGCAGGGCACAATCCTTGGTCTATTTCCAAACAAAGCAGGACCGGATACCTTCAGCTATGGCGCAGCTGCGTTCCTGGCAATTCCAAGTTTGTTCACACTGGGCAAAATGTCCGACGTGTCCATACAAGAAATGCAGTGAAGCCCTGCCTGGGAGAATTGTAATAGGCCTCTTCCCTCCTGGAATGTCGGAATGCCACAGGCGCAGGCGTCGGGAAGGCCCACGTCTCAGGATTGCCACACCCCAGTCCCCAAACTCCACATGACGGGATTCCGGATCCCTGTCCTTCAGATAACCAGACACCACCCTGCAAAAGTCTACACCCTCCGAAATGCCTCCAGGGGAGGGCCACTCCGCTGACAGTTGATCTCAGTTAATGACCTTATTGAACTGGCTTTTAAAAATAACCTTTAAGTCACTTTATTACATTTCACTTAAGGCATGACAGCGCCTTAAATGCTGCGGTCCTCCGGCCCCTCCCTTGTTCCTCTGCACCTGCCCTCCGCAGTCCGGCAGGGGAGGGTGCTGAGGCCGGCCCTGGGCCCTCCCTTCCTCGTACCTGGTCCGCGCGTTCCTCCCCGCGCTTCCTGGAAGGAAGAAAGGAAGGACGGAGGGAAGGGTTAGCGTCCCGTTTTACAGCTGAGAAGAGGAAGGCCAGCCAGCTCCCAGTCGCGGCTGCGCATTTGGGACCTGGCTTCCCTCCCTGTCTGTCTGTCCCAACCCCGGACCCGCTGGCTTTACCAGCTCTTGCCCACAGAGCTCCTGATGCCAGAGTTTTAATTATGTGTTCTGTCAACAGTACGTGAACTCCACTGGCCATCACTGCACTTAGGAATTAGTCACTCACAGAGTACAGTAATGCTCTTTGCTGTTCTAAAGACGTTGCGTAATCGATTGAGGCAACAAACATGTACTGAACATCTACCTCGTGCCAAGGTTAGTGCTGGGTCCCGGGGCTGCATCATAGAGAAGGCAATTCTACGTATGGAAGATTTTTACAATCAGCCTATTAAACCCTCGCAACGACCTGTCATTTGCCCCATTTCATAGACCGGGACGACCGAAGCGCAACGAGGTGAGGCGATTCGCTCCTGAAAGGCCGCCGAGAAGGGCGGCTCCTGGGACGTGACGCAGGCGTTCGTGCAGTGCAGCTCTCGCCCGCTGAGCCGCAAAGTGAGCGCCTATTGCGTGCACCCCGCAGTCGCGGGTATCCTTTTATAATTCTCACCCACAAATAAGCGGCTGGCCTTTACACTGTAATTACAGAGCGAAGTTTCATAGAACTGGGTAAGATGGTCAACCTAAAGTTCACGAAACCTACGGGAAGAAGGACTTTCAACCAAGAGTGTAGCGAAAGCGGGGGCGGGCCTGATGCCATCTCTCTCTTAAAAAAAACCACAGGAGTAACAGTTCCTGGAGAACAGAAAAAAAAAAAAAACCCCCCCCAACTGCCTGCCAAACTCCCCCAACCCCGCCAACTTTTCAAGGGTAAAAGGGGGGGAAAGGACGGGCAGATCGCAACTCCCAGGCATCCCGCAAAGTAGGCGGGTCACCTTAGGGGCAACCTTTACCCGCTCAAAAATTCGTCTCACATTAGCAGTGAGGATTCGGGCGTCACCCCGAATCGTTATTTTCCTTACTCATAAGTTTAAGGCATAAAGACTTCCACGTGTTACTTGCTGGGTAGTGAATCCCATTCTCATTATCCCTACGGTGAGTATCAGAGTGGACCGTTGAACTAAGAACCCAGTTCCTTTGTAGTTTGTCTTATTCATTTAGTTAGTTGTTTATGTCGCTTTCCATTTTATTTGGTGTCTAGAGAGAACCCCCAACGATAGTTGCGCCGACCTCCGTATGCAGATAAGCAGCTGGCGTCGCAAAGGCTCACGGGATCTCCCCGCCCCTTCCGGTTTTTGCCTGGTTTGAGCTGTCGCGAGAGTTCGTGGGCCGCACGCCGGAAGCAGCTAGTTGCTCCGTAGCGGCCGAAGGGGCGGGCTCGAGGGCCGAGGGAGCCTAAGCTGCTCGCGGCTCGCTTGGCAGTGCAAGATGGCGGACATCTCCCTGGACGAGCTCATCCGGAAGCGCGGGGCTGCGACGAAGGGGCGGTGAGCGGCCTTTTCTCCCTCCGGTGCTCAGGGCCGGTAGCCTAGCGGGGCTCGGGGCAGGGGAGGGAGCGGCCCGGGAGCGACGCGGAGCGCCGTCTGCGCCCGCCCCCTGCCGTAGCCGCGCTCCTCATTGGCTCGGCCCCGCCGCCGCCGCGGGCCCAGCCGCTGGGCCGTCCGCACTGGTTGGAAGCGCCGTCGCTCCGGGGAGGCCGGCGGGGCCGCTGGCGGCGAGGCTGGGGCGCCCCCTTCGTGGGAGCGGCCCTGGGGGTGGGGGTGGGCGTCCCGTGGGGGGAGGGGTCCGGAAGGTCTCCCTGCCGCAGCCCCCTCCCCTGGGAAGACTGGCCTCCGGGTCCCGCTG